AAAGACAAAAAAATTTTAACTATTTCTGGACGGTGGCATTTCAGTAAGTTTTTATTCTCTGTATATTTTTATTTCCTAAGTTGTCTAAAATAAGCATATATCAGTTTAACTTTATTTTAAATGTTACTCAAAAAGCGATAAGACATGGTCTCTCCTCTCAGAAAGGGTAGCCTGTTTGGATGGAAACACATTAACAGATATTTAAAAGGGGATGTTCACTGAGCACTTATTATGTGCCCCAAGCTGTGCCGGGCAATTTACATGCATAAACTCATTTAACCCTCCTAACCGATAAAGCAGGCATTTTTAAGCCCATTTTGGACATAAAGAAACAGGTTCAGAGAGGATATTAACTTGCCAAAAGTTACACCAAGTAACTGACACAAGTGAGATTCCAACCCTGGATCAGCCTGATCACCAAAGTCCAGTTCTTTCCACCAAACCTCACTGCCTCCCGAAGTCACATACAAAGAAAAATTACACGCAGAATATGCATTTCCTTTCCCTTTGCCCAGCTTATTCCTCTTACAGAACTCATCGCCACCGGACATACCATATATTGTTCACTGGTGACGGTCTGCCCCTAGAACGTAAGCTCCATAACGACACGCATGTTTGTTCACTGCCGTAGCCTCAGCTCCTGGCATGCAGAAAACACTCAATAAATATTTCAGAACAAAGGATTCTGAATAGAGAAATGCCCTGATCGTGTCTCTGCGGTCACGTCTGGTACCAGTGTGAAGAGACTGGCAGCAAGCAGGCTTGCTGAAGGAACTACTTACGAGAGTCCGGGTGGGAGAGGACGACGACAGGCACTAGGGCAGAGGAACTAAACTAGACAAGAGGAGAAGATTCGAGAGGTATCCAAGGACTGGCACTGATAGGACATGATGACCAAGTGGACATGGGACTGAAGGAGAGAGCCGAGTCAGGAGTGAAGAGGGATAAGAGGAGGAAGGACGGCAGGCCTTTGCGGGGAGAGGGGAGGAGGAGAAGAGTAGGTGAAGACATCCACCCCATAGGGTGGGGGATATGGAATAACGAGTAGAAAACACAGACTAGCACTCAAGAGAGAGCTGGGTCAGTGACTGGGCTGGGGATGTGCACAGATACAGAGGGAGACTGAAGCAATGGGAATCGTAAAGCTCACCCAGCGAGAACACACAGGAAAGGAGGACTAGACGGGCTACACTTAGGGATGGGTGAAGAGACAGAGGCAGGTCAGAGGTCATTCAGTAGAGCCAGGAGTTTCAGGGACCGAGTTCTTGTGGTGTAAATACCACTGTGAATGTCTGCGCCAGGTAGGGCCACCTTTGCCCTAAGAGCCCAGCTGCCCAGTTGTGGGCTTTTTCTCCTCTGTGTACTGGGATTCTGCTGTCAACAAGACATGGACAAGGCCTAAACCTCACAAAATGAGCCTCCAACACTCAGGCACTAATCATTGCATGTTTAAATGAAACAGCTTACTGCCTGGTCTCCGTTGTAATTTTTCCTCATGCTGAAGCATCCATCACCATTGATTTAGGAAAATCAACATTCCTAAAACCCTAACTGCATGTCACTTACCTGCTTTAAAAATCTCCAAAGGCCTCAAGATGAGACTCTCCTTGAGCCTATTCTATCTGTACTGTGAAGTGCTAACAGTATCAGTAAAATTAGGCAGTTCAAATTTGAATCCAAAGCTGTGTGACCCTGGGCAAGCAACTTAACCCCTCTGTCCTCCCTCAGCTCCTCGTTTCTAAAATGTGGCTAGTACCTACATCATAGAGCTTTTCTTTTTCTTATAAAGTAAAAATTCATATAAAGTGCTTACTAAGCACAGAATGCCTAGCATAGGAGTGGCAGCCTTTAAATGCTATTATCATTATTATTTCCCCAAATAAACGTCCTACTCCACCTGGGCTGCTCTGCTTTATGATTTCTCAACACACAATGCCCATCTCAGGGCCTTTGCTGATGGTGTTCCCACCATGAACCACCACCACCACTAAAGAGTATTCATTCAACATTTACGTTATATATTTAAGGTGCTTGTCTGGAAAAACAGTCCCAACCCTCAGAGCTCACAGTCTAATAATGAAGGACAGCCAGAGGAAGAGGTGCAATAACGTGTTACAGGTGCCAAGGGAAGCACTTCCCGGAGGCAGTGGAGATGCTGACACTGCATCTTGGAAGCTGAGTGGGTGAACCAGGCAGAGTGGGTGCATGTGGAGCAGGGCATTCAGTACCACGGTCACAATCACTGTACTGAGTCTGGCATTGCTGAGGCCCTGAGCTGAGGGTGGGCAGAGTGAGTGCAGGATAGAGGAGGGTGGCAGGTCATGAAGTGTTTGCGCTTGATTCTGTAGGCAACAGGCAGCCACTAAACGATGTTAGGTAGGGAACCCCTGCTTGGGTTCTAGAAAAGCTACACCTGTGCTGCCCAATATGGAAGCCACGTGCTTGAACTACTGAACGCTTGAAACGTGGTTAGTGTGACTGAGGAACTAAATTTTTAATTTTAAACTTAAAAACTGATAGGCAATTCAGTTATTGGAAAACTTTTAAGTATGTTTGGAATAATTTGGGTATGTGAATCTACTTTTTCAACTGTAAGTTTAATCTACTCTAAATACAGATCAAGTATTTGATGAAAATTTAGCATCCAAATTGAGATGTGCTGTAAGCATAAAATACACACCAGATTTTGAAGACTTGGTACAAAAAAAACCTCATTAATTATCTTTATATTAATTACATGTTGAAATAATATTTTGACTCTATTAGGTTAAAGACATTAAAATTTATTCACCTGTTTCTTTTTTTTTAACGTGGCCACTAGGAAATGTAAAATGGCATATATGGCTCACATTTTATTTCTATTGGACAGCACTGATCCAACAGAACCAAGGGCAGATGAAAGAGGCAAGAGATTGGAAGCAGGAAGAACAATTAAGAGGCTCTTTGATAAGAGTCCAGATAAGACAGGCCCCAATTATCTCAATTCCACTCATCTCAAAACCTCATTCAAGATCTATTACTACCTCCAAAAGCTTTCTCAGTCATAACAATTCCTAATGAGTTGCCTTTCTCTGAACTTCTGGGGCACTTATCTTCTGTAGCATTCACTTCAGCGCTTAATCTTTTACCACCTATCATTTTTAATGCTGGAAAGAGTTGTTTCTCAGATTAGACTATAAACTCCTAGGCTAAGGGCCATAATTTAGGTGTCTTTAATTTTTCCACATTGTGTGACTCATTTTCAGTACTTTTAATACATGGAGGTACATGGCTCCCCAAATATGCTGTCACACAGTCTGGAGACACCCACGTGGCTGATTTTACTTTTCTGCAGCAGAAGGTACTGAGAGAGTCTCTTTTCCGTCAGACGACTTAAGGACACCAGCTAAGGTGATGTAAAAGTCAACCAGGACTCCAGGCCAATGTTCCAATAAAGCAGTGATATCTAATCAACAAGCAAGCATCCGTAGACTGTATTGGATACTACCAGGAAGGAAATGTCAAGATGGCAGAGCAATTGAGTGTTTTCACAAATTCCATTAAAAATAAAACAAATAAAAATGTGCTGATTATTTCTTGTCTCGACTGCCAGAGATAACTTGTGCAACCTAAGCTTTAAGAACTTTCATTCAAGGGAAAAATGCTTAAAACACAGCTTTAACATTTAAAAATTAAGCCCTAAATCAAGCCTTTTAATATAATCCATTTTCCAGATAGAGAGCCACATATTACTAATAAATCTACAGCTCAGCATTTTCCCATCTAAATTAAAGGTGAAGAAAAAACCTTTCTGGGAAATAGTACATAAACATGTTTTGTGGTATCATGGATACTAAAGCATTTCACCTAAAGTACCACTTAAATTTTCCGAGAAGAACTCTTAAAAGAACACACATATACCCAAGCAACCGGTCAGCTTTTACCACTGCAGAAACAGGAAGCTAGTAGCAACTATGTGAAAGCAAACTGACACTTTATGATAATTAGTACTGATCTTCTAGGAACTTGGTAGTTCGCAGATTTTTTTTATGTTTGACATTTAAAACATAAAGTTGACAAGTTACAACATCAGAACGATCTTTCTTGCATTTGTTTAATGCCTACAAAGCTCATATAACAAAGTGCACTTAAAGTTTCTATCTCCAAACAACCGAGCAATCAAAGACGGAGTCAGGACAGCTCAGAAGGAAAAATGAGTTAAGGCAGTTCTAGTCAGAGAGGCAGAAGAAGAAGAAATGGGGGAAACCTGTCAAATGGCCTGGATGAAATCAGGAGTTAAAAAGAAAGCACTCATTTCCTTCGGCACTGTGGGAAAATCCCGGGGCTAATAGAAACTGAGGAAAGTTTGGTTTGGCTGATTGCATTTTGTTTTCCTTCCAACATCATCACCGAGTATGAGCGACGGCTTTCCTTCCCTCACATTACTCAGTAAGAACTCCCCCACTGAATTGAGCTGTCTTCCGGAGCCCTGCTCCCCAGGCTCCCAGATCAACGTCGCCCCCCCTCCCCGCCCGCAAACGTGCTCAGACGCCTCCGGGCTTGTTGTGGTCTCTCCAGCCTGCGGGCGAGCGCTCCAAACTCAATGGACAATGGGAGCTCACCCCCGTCCACGCCAACTACAAAGCTCAGGAGGGCCATTTCCCTTTTCCTGCCCAGATGCTGTTTTCCCTCCTTCGAAGCGGGGCCCCGTGCTCCACTACCGCCCCAGTTGGGGCTGGGACCGGTGTCTCCCTCCCCATCTGCAGAGCTGCCGAACCCCTCGACCCCCAAAGTTGTACCGCAGCGCACAGGCCAAGGGGGACACCCTCCCCAGGGGCTTGGTTGGGGGCACGGGTTTCACAGTCCAGGTAGGACGGGGAGGGATGTCTCGACGCTTGGTCATGGCCCTCAAGGCTAAGCCGTCCCCTCCCCAGCCTCAACTTGTCTCTCCTCCCCCTACAGAGAGCAGAGCCGGGAGGTGCGGGCTGGCCTCCTCCAGCGGAGTCCTCGGCGACACTCACCCTTTCACCACAAAGAAGGGGTCCTCCATCGACATGGCGTCCCGGCCCCCGGCCGCCTCACGCCTGCTTCGTGCACAGGGCGCCCGCGCCCTCCTGGCCTCCCTCCGCACACCCCACTGGCCTCCCGCAGCCGCCGGCGCCTGGGCCTGGGGGACCCGGAGCAGCGCGCGCGAGCGCAGGCCAGGTGCACAGGACCGCCGCTGGTCCAGCGCTCGGTGGGCACCACAGACAGAATCCCTGACTCCGGCGCTGCCTCCTCCCCCGGCTCTTCCCGGCGCGTCCGGACGCCCTGACCCCGCCCCCGAGTCCCTCGGCCGCGGCCAACCACGAACGCGGCCCGCTGCACCACTTCCGCACCCGCGCTCACGTGACAGGGTCGGCCCCGCCCCTCGTCGACGGGCCCGACCACCGTCAGGCGACCCTGGGGGCGGGGCTTTGGGGGCGGTGGAGGAGGGCTGCTCCTTTCTCCACCAGCCCCTCAGCATTTGGTGCAAGGAGGTGCTTGTTGCCTCGTAGGAGGGCTGCTGTGTTTTCATGCTACGCCTCAGTACGTGATTGCACAATTCTTTTACCTTTCTTCTATATTCAGTACTTGATTTTGATAACATATGATTTATAAATCCATCTCGTCCTCGTCTTACAATAAAGCGTGCTCGTATACCTTATCTGACTATGATAATGTTGCACTTCGTTATGTAGGTCTTACCACGAGTCTGGCAATGCGCTAAAAGTTGTGCGTTATCTCAATATTCTTGGGAGGAAGGTATTACTACTCCCATTCTGTCGATGAGAAAGGTTCAGAGAGGTTTCAAGATTTCCTGTGGTCACACAGCCTGGACAGGGCAAAGCCGCAGATTCTGTGCGCTTTCCTCCAGATGGGGACGTATTTTCTTTTCGTGTGTATTCTGCAAGTGACCACTAAGGTAATTTTTTCATACAGGAGAGAGCACCTTTGAGGGACAGAGAAGGGGCCAGGTATGGCAACTTCCTCTCAGCTATGATTCAAGAGCTGTTCCAGAAAATATTTTGGTCAGAGCAATTAGCCAACTCCTATGCTAGATGTGCTGTGGGGTTTGTGGACTTTAATTGCTGATAACCATTGAGCACTTATTGTGTTTGAAGCACTGTGCTAAGTGTTATCTCAGTTGCCCCCAGGATGAGGTAATTACTATTATCCCCATTTTATGAATGAGGGATCTGAGACTCTTGGAGTATAAGTGACTTGCCCAAGGTCACCAGTCTCTTTGGAGATGGAAGAGTCCTTGGAGCCGAGCAAACCCTGTTTGAACCTGGGTTCTGTTATTCAGTTCCTTATCTATAACATGTAAATAATAATATTTAGCTCGTGAGTTGTTGTGAAGGTTAAATAAAAATGCCTTAAACCCCAAGACCCCAATGGAGTCGGGTAGTGAAGTCAGGGAAACCAGTGAGGAAGCTGCAGTGGTTGTCTGGCCTGAAGGGAGGAAGACCAGACTAGGACCGACAGCAATTGTAAATGGAGAGGAAGAAGCGAATCTAATAGATATTTCAAAGGAAAAACAAAACACCTAGACCTGACGAGAGATTGAATGGTATTGGGGAGGAGAGAGGTGAAAGTCAGAGACTCCAGGCTTCTCTGAGACCCTGGAGGAGCAGTGGAGGGTGGATGTGGGTAAGGAGGCTATTGGGAGAGAACTGTTTAATTTGGTTATGGACATATTGAGATGGGGAGGTGAAAGGGATCCTCATTCATTCATTCAACAAACACACTAAGTTGAGGGGCAGATGAGAATAGTAGTTAAGAGCCATACTTGGAGCCAGATTGCCTGTATTCAAATCCCAGTTCTGCTACTTCCTGACTGTTGTCTTGGGCAAGCTGCTTGATCTCTCACTATCCTCAACTGTGACATGGATGCCACAATAACACCTCCTGCATAGAGTGTCGTAAGGGTTAAATGAATTGATGTGTGAAAGGTGCTTAGAACAGTGCCTGGCACATGCGTGGTACTCTTACTATGTGCTAAGCACTGGAGGCACAGAGATGAACAGGCTTGATCCTTGCCTTCAAGGAACTGTCGGCCTGGTGGGAGAGACAGGCAGTTACACACAATGAGAGAAGGGCACGGGTTGCCAGAGAAACACAGAGACAAGATACCAGTTTATTTGTGTGTGGAGGCGGGGTTCTAAACAGTGACGAGAGGCAGCCAGGAGACAGCATGGCAGCCTGTGGGGAGCCATGGCAGAGGGTGTTGCTGGAGTAGCAGGAACCGGAGAGTGGCAGGAGGAGCTAAGGCTGGGGGAGATGGGCAGGGTCAGATTACCAAGGGCCCTTGATTATGATTTGAGAACTGTGGATGTGCTCTGTAGACCATGGCAGCTGAGGGCATTGGCAGGATCAGAGTGGCATTTGAGATGGCTGCCGCGGTGGCTGGGAGGTCAGCTGCGTGGTTGTGGTCCAGAGGAGGAACGAGGGTGTCCTGAGCCAGGCTTGCAGCCACTAGAGTGGAGAGGAGGGATACATTTAACACTTTAGAAACCTAATCAGTGGACTTGGTGACTGATTGATTCAGTGTGGGGGTGGGGTAGGGGTGGTAAAAGAAGAGGGAGGAAGGCCTGCGGGGTTCTGGAGTTGAAATCAGGTGCTTTTTAGTTCCAATAACCAAGAAAGAAAGCACAGGAGGAGGATTAGATTTAGGGGGATATAAATCAGCTGCTAGCATATTGGTTTTCCCCACTAAACTGTAAACTCCTGGAGGGTGGGGAGACTATATTAATGTCATTATCACCCCAGTGCCTAGCATAGCCTCTTATTATCTATTCCATGAATTTATTAATTAAACCACAAATGAGAGGTCAGTGTTTCATAAGCAGAAACATAGAGGATGGAGGACAGAGGCTTGGAGAATTCCCATAATTAGAGATTTGGAAAAAGTACCAACAATGGAGATAGTGGAGGGTTGAGATATGAAATGTGTGTGGAGAGGGGAGTGTCCCTTTCTGTAATATGTCACCCTCCTTCACCCTCTTTCAAACCAAACTAGACCTTGGCTCCATTGCCCCAGAAAAGGGAAGTATAGCTAAAATGCAAGGAGAAACAAAGGAAGCTATTTCTTTTCTTTTTTTTTTAGTTTAACTGGCTCTGGGTGCTGGCATAAACAATAACTCAGGAAGAATACTCAGTAAAAAGCCTTCTAATCCCATCCCCCTTATCCCCTCAAAAATGAGAATTAAAAATTCTCATAGGGCCGGACCCATGGCTTAGTGGTTAAGTGTGCGTGCTCCGCTAATGGTGGCCTGGGTTTGGATCCCCAGCGCGTACCGCCGCACCACTTCTCCAGCCATGCTGAGGCCGCGTCCCACATACAGCAACTAGAAGGATGTGCAGCTATGACATACAACTATCTACTGGGGCTTTGGGCTATAAAAGGGGTGGGAAAAAAAAAAGGAGGATTGGCAATAGATGTTAGCTCAGGGCTGATCTTCCTCACCAAAAAAAAAAAAATTCTCATAGAGTGACAAAATCAAAACAGCAGTTGCCTTGGGGTGGGGAGTATTGCCTGGGAAGGGAAACTTGCTGGGGTGATAGAAATGTTCTGTATCTTGAGAGGAGTGTGGGTTTCACAGATGTATGCATTTGTCAGAATGCATCAAACTGTGACGCTTAGATTCTGTTCATTTTGCTGGAGGAGGGTAACACTCTAACTCTGAGTTTTCTGTAGAGTCCTGAGAGGGCATCCAGGAGAAGATCTGGGCCCTGAGCGAGTCTCCAGATAAGGCGAGTGAGCGATGGAGGGAGCTTGCTGGGTCTTGCGAGGCATCTTGTGCTGAAATAGGAGATGCCGATGCAAAGAATAGAGCACAGGCCACCAGGCCATGGATCTCATGAAGATAAGGATCAGAAAGGATCAACTCACGTCCTATTGCTAAGGATGCCAGGATAGACTTGAGCCACCCCCTCCCCCTAAAATCTGTCGGAGTTCCATTAGGCCCTGCAAGAGGAGCTCTTCTACTTTCCATTGGGAATGATAAGCCCAACCTGCTCCCTCACTAGGTTGTGTTAAGGATCAACTGGAGTGATAAATGTGAAAGCATTTTGCAATGTACGAGATACTGTAAGCTACCCTAAATCCTTTTTTAAAAATAATTAAATTTTTTTAATTGTGGTAAAATACAAATAACATAAAATATACCATCTTAACCATTTTTAACTATATGGTTCAGTAGTGTTAAGTACGTTCACATTGTTGCTCAACCAATCTCTAGAACTCTTTCATTTGCAAAACTGAAATTCCGTACCCATTAAACACCTCCCTATTCTCCGCTCTTCCCACCCCCTGGCAACCACCATTCTACTTTGTCTCTAGGAATTTGACTACTCTAGATACCTCATCTAAGAGGAATCATACAGTATTTGTCTTTTTGTAACTGGCTTATTTCACTTAGCATAATGTCCTCAAGGTTCATTCATACTGTAGCATGTGTCAGAATTTCCTTCCTTTTAAGGCTGACTAATATTCCATTTATGTATCTGCCACATTTTGTTTATCCATTCGTCCGTTGATTGACACTTGGGTTGCTTGCACCTTTTGGCAATTGTAAATAATGCTGCTCTGAACGTGGGTGTACAAATATCTCTTTGAGACCCTGCTTTTAATTGTTTTGGGTATATACCCAGAAGTGGAATTGCTAGATTATATGGTAATTCTATTTTTAGTTTTTTGAGGAACTATCAGACAGTTTTCCATACTGGCCGCACTATTTTACATTCCTACTAACAGTGTACAAGGGTTTCAATTTCTCCACATCTTTGCCAACACTTGTTATTTTCTCTGTGTGTGTGTGTGTGTGTGTGTATGTGTGTGTATTTTCTGTAGTAGTCATCCCAATGGATGGGAAGTGGTATCTCATTGTGGTTTTGATTTGCATTTTCCTAACCATTAGTGATATTGAGCATCGTTTCATGTATTTATTGGCCATTTGTATATCTCCTTTGGAGAAATGTCTGCTCAAGTTCTATGCTCATTTTTTAATTGGGTTGTTTGTTTTTTTGTTGTTGAGTTCACCTTAAATCCTTTTTGAAACAAGATAAGAGTAAGGGAGAAAAGTGTTACGTAGATCGTACGTATTATACTCTTCATCATTATCCAGGAAATGCTTGCTCCAGTTGGCTTCCATTGATCCGGCTATGGCTGTCTACATTTCCCAGCCTCAACCACAGGAAATATGCACACACTGGTTATGTTTTCTTTCCTCTTCTTGGTTGTTACCAACACCTCTACCCTTACCTACACACTGGAT